CCAGCTGTAGCTCCTGTAAAGGAGGGCTAGTGGGCATGCACAGATGAGAGGGATTAACTGCAGGGAGTGCTATCTAAAGGAGAGCGCTATGCGGGTGCAGGGACATTATGGCCGAAGTATTGCTGTCAGAGAACACACTACGCCTAGAGCAAAGTCTCCAATTAATGCAATTTTGACTTGACCAGGCTTGACCTTTGCTAAAAGTCTGAGCTGAAAGAAGCTGGATTCGACCACAGAATTGATCTGTTTGTCTAGTTTAAAATCACGATCAATCCGTACACCCAGATTTGTGACATTGGGTTTCACATATGGGACAAGAGAATCCAGCACAGGCGGGGCATTGGGTCCAAATATTATCACCTCTGTCTTTTTTTCATTGAATTTTAAAAAGTTCAAGGCCATCCAGGCTCTGATGTCCTGCAGACAGTCAGACAGGCGTTGCTGAGGGTTTGGGTCATTTATTTTCAGGGGCATGTAGATTTGCGAGTCATCTGCATAAAAATGAAATGAGACACCACATTTCTTAATGATAGCGCCCAGGGGGAGCAGGTACAGGGAAGATCAAATCGGCCCAAGAATGGAGCCTTGGGGTACCCCGTATGGGAGAGGAGCAGAGGAGGAATTAAATTCATTAAGATTTACATTAAAACTTCTTTCAGACAGATACGACAAAAGGTAAAGAGGTCTGAGCCAGATAGATGGTGAAGGTTTAGTCCAGTCGAGCAAACAAGGTCCTGAGTGTGGCCACGGTTATGGCTGTAATTGATAAGCCTTGAAACATGCACTTGTCAAGGTTCAGAGGCACATTTTGCAAATATGGCAGTAGCCATCGATCATCTTAAGATTTGTTGATCCCAAGTTGGGAAATGTTTTCGTTACAGCAGCATGTACAACATGCAATTTATTGTTACTTTGTAATTCTACTCCACTACAATTCAGAGGTTAACCTGGTATTTTTACTTCACTACGTAGTTACTTTGCAGATTCTGATTAATGATGTGAAATATAAAAAACCCTTAAATCAGACATTAGTTACACCTGAGTAAATTTCAGGGAAAGGTGATTGTCAACTGCCAACAATCAGGAGAGATATTTGATATTTGGTGCTTGAGAAGACTAAACATTTATCTGCAGATCTCTATAAAGTATATTCATTACTCGTTATTCTCTACTAATAGTTAATTAAAGACTGTACATAATGGCTATTTTGCACATCCCTTTCAAGATTTTCTAAGTCTTATTGAATTTTTATGGGCGGGTTCAGTATTGCACGTCGCGGGGCGGAAGCGGGTCTTGATAATCCGACCTGTGCAGGACTCTGGTGTACCTCCACCATTAAACTGTCATATTCTGCACATTTCTTATACTATCTACCTACATCTTATAAGAGTATAATTAATATGTATAGTATAAGTTAAAATAAGTGCTTCAGTTAACATTGCAGGGAAGTTGATTGTCAAATCCCAAAACAAACTATGCAATATACTCCACGTTAAGTACTTTTTCAGGCTTAATATTTATCTGTAGATACCCCCAAAACTTTTTTCTTATTTGAAAGAAGACCTTAACCTAAAATATTTTTTAATGTTTTAATAAAGGTTAATTAGTTTGCCTGTTTTGCACATGCTCCTATTAATATCTTGGACGTCCTGCACTAAACTTTTTTATTGTAGAGATCACTTACAGTATCCTCTTGATATTTTCTATTCAATATTTCTATCATTGACCTCTTTCCCCCTATTTTGTATGTACTCTTAATATTTAAAAAATGTCATAAAATATAACATATTCAACAAAACATGCAGCAAAGATTACCTGCATTGCAATGACTCTAAACGTGTAATAACGTGCCTTAACCACTAGATGGTGCGGGTTAAAAAACTGTCAAGTTTAGTGTTAACACAATAAATTATACTGCTGTTTCCGGTTTAGTTTATGACGGATGTATTTTGTTATCCACACATATATTGTTTTGATATTTGTTACACCAAACCGACAGAAAAAGATGGT